CTTTAATTTGTTTCATATATAGTTCATTTTATTTCAAGCACATAATTTCTGGCTTCTGACTAGTAGAGGGGTCTTGTGTAATCCTTGAAGGTTTGTGTTTGCCACATGTCTGGCTTGCAGATTAGTCTAGCTTTGTTTCCCACCACTGATTTAAACATTAAACAAAACAATATCAAAACAATTTTAATCTACCAGTTAAAACGTTCCACAGATAAACATGGTTAATGTGATATTTCTCAGAATATACAAAGAAAACACTCCAGATCATGGCATATGTTAGTAAATAATGTTAAAGTATTCAGTTACATGCATATTTTCTTTGGGATTTCTCAGAGTGATAATTGTGCAATTGAACATAAGTATGTACTTTGTACTAAATATCATGTTGGCAGTGAAAAGTTCTTCCTATCATTTTATAGAAATAATTCCTGAAATTGAATTATATTACTGTATTAATCAATAAGGACAGAAAACAAATTATTAGTTAAAGCAGTAGTGTTGGATTGATCAACAAGTTACAAAGATATACTTAGCGACACATGTAGGTAATAAATTATTAAGAAATACTGAAATAGCTGTATTGTGGTTCTGACCAACAAGAACAGGTAAAAAGTTAAAATAGAGATGTACAGTTGCACTAACCAACAAAATTATATAACACGATATTAGGATACAACTGCAATATTGTGTTAACAAAAAAAAAAGTTATTAAGATAGAGCTGTACAGTTGTATTGAACAATAAGAATAAATAACAAATTACTAAGATATAGTTATATTTGTTATTCTGAACAAATATGAGTAACAAAAATAATACGTTACAGGTTATTAAAATATATATGTACTATTGTACTGATCAACAAAAATAGAGAATAACAAATTATAAAAATTATACTAGAATTTCCAGTACACTTGAATATAAATAAACCAAAAATATATTAAGTGAAAATAAAAAAATGATGTAAAAAAAATTAGATCTTTGTATGCCAAAGTTGTCATGGAAATAAAAACTAAAAATTAAATCCATTTATCACTGAACTGTGATATCACCATAAATATACAAGATTTTTCAGAATAAAAAAACATGATAAAATATTTTATACTAAGTAAAAAAGGAGCTCTAAGGCATGTTTTATTAGATTCCTACCTAAACCATAATACATTTTAAAAACAGAATGAATTGCATTTAGTAGCATATAATGTCCAACTCTTCCCAAAACTACAGACTCAGTGATTAGTTAGTTGTTTATGGATAAACAAGTATAATGTTCAAAACCTTTTTTTATTATTTTTAAACATTACATTTTGCTAGGTTTACCTAGAATCATCAAGTGGGAAGTTTTGAATAGCATCATACAACAGTTCAAACTGTCACTTGTTATATTATCAGACTGACGTTAGGCCAATAAACAATAATGTAATAGGAAATAACAACAGCTATGTAAGGAAAACAAAATTTAGAAGAAATACAAATGTGCACCTGTATTTTAAAGGATTCGATTCTTGTGTTTTTAGGGTTAATTTTGATTTAAAAAACCTTTTCAACTATGTGCTGGTTGTTGAAGTGATTAACTGTGCACTGGATTGTTACAAGAATGACTCCAATCTCAGATCCCGTTTAGATGTTTCTGTCATCAAAGAATTCTTTAATGTTTCAGCAACTTGTACAAATTTTCAACTTTAAGGTGTTAATTATGACAAGGTCCCAGTATGGAAAACCCAATTTCTCTTGTTTTAACCAATATATTTAATAACAAGACAGAAGAAATTGCTATCTCCATTTCCCTTCAACCTTCAGTTTTCTGGATGTGTTATGTGGATGACATTTTGATGGCTTTTAAAAATTCACCCTGTATTTACAGTTTTCTTTAAACATTAAGTTTACAGTAAAAAATTATGCTGATGGTAAGGTTTAATTTTTAAATGTTTTAGTGTGTATGTGTGTGGGGAGAGAATACGAAGTTCCCATCTTCATTGTTTGTAAGGATACACACTCAGGAGTTTACCTTGAATGTTTTGTTTCTTTTTAATTTTGTGCAAAGCTACACGAGGGCTATCTGCACTAGCCGTCCCTAGTTTAGCAGTGTAAGACTACAGGGAAGGCAGCTAATCATCACCACCCACTGTCAACTCTTGGGCTACTATTTTACCAACGAATAGTGGGATTGACCGTCAAATTATAATGCTGACAAGGATTCAAACCCACGACCCTCAGATTGCAAGTCAAGCACCCTAGCCACCTGGCCATCCCAGGTCTACCTTGACTGGAATTTGTTCCAAGACACAAAACAAAAAATAGGGATCATAAAACCTCTTTTTTTCTTTTTCAGAGAGGTAAAACTATTCATTCCTCTCAACAGGTTTTTCTCACTGAGAAATATGTGTTAAAATCTCAATTTGTATTACAAAATAAGTATCCTTCCAAAGTGATAAATTAAACTTTATCATCACTAGAAATTGAAGTACAGACTAAAGATACAAACAATATATATGATTTTGAAAAACCTGCTCCTTTACTGCATCTTGGCATACATCTTTAATCTTTAACATGCTACCCAGAAAAATGTGGTAAAAACTGTTAAATGATATGGATATCAATATAAAACTCTCTTTCCCACTAGTGAAAAAATAAGGCCAGCCTCTGTCAAGAAAATTTGCTGACAATGACACATCAGGATCAATATATCCAATTAAATGTAAAGACAACATCTGAAAGGTCCCTTTCACGTACTTGAACACATTTAAGCATAGTTACTCCTTTGATTTGTCATATGTTGAAATCATTGATAAAGAAAATAACTAAAGAAGCTCTCTTTATCAAAAAGCAAATACCCTAAATTAATAAATATACAGGTTTATATTTATCCTAATTTTTTATTTTCATTGCTTAGTTGTTGTGGATTTCTCTTATATTATTATTTAATAACATTATGTCATTCTGATATTGTAATACGTGACAGTTTGAATTATTTTACAATTCTATTCACAGTTTGCCACCTGACAATACAAAACATAGTGGTTAAAAAAGCTTCTTTAAACATATATATACTTGCCTATCTGCAAACAAATAAATAACAATTTACTTTCATAACTTCTTTCCATAAATTGCTTAAGTGCAAATAACATTTACACCAAAATACCACTAAATAAAAGAATTGGTGTAAACTTAAACATTTATTTTTAATACTGCTTATTATAAATCATACATTTAATAATAATTGGATTTAAATCATATTGAAATCTTTTTGCACCCTCATTGGCATAAAGATATGTTTTTAAAGTATCTTTTATAAAACAACAAAACTATACTTTAGAATATCGTCAATAATTTATAATAAATAAATGTGCATATTCCGTTGAAAGACTTTCCTAAAATCTGGCCTCCTCTTCACAATGAATGTTAATTAAGTTAGTGAGTGAGGTGTTTCCAGAAACCTAAATGCACTTTTAACCGAATCTTGTGTAGCAATAAAATACATTTACTGAACAATATCCATGGCATAAAAATCAACCTAAAAAGTAAACTTCAGAAATATGCATTGCAAAATCCTAACAGCAAATCAAAAGCTCTATGAAATTTACAGCCATTACTGAAAATAAACTATGCTAAAAACATTTCATATAACTGCTGACTCAGAACTGTGTTTACATGATAATTCCAAAACCTTTGTTTTCTACAGTAAAAGATAATTTTTAATAAATATGCTTCAATAAAAGTAACAATTACATTGTATATTAATGTTTCTTTCTTTAAAATTATAAAAAATCTGGATCTTAAGAGACGTCTGACTAGAATAAGCAAGATTTTGCATTCTACTCTGTCACTTCACACTTAAAAATATAACATATGTAAATACAGCATTTTGGATTTAAACCTCTGAACACAGGTAGGTCAAAGTGTGTATGCTATGGCCTTTTCACATAGTTACATTAAAAATCTAATTACTTTATAATCAATGTATGTTAATAAACATGATATCAAAATGCAGTTTACAATTCATATTTTCATATATCTAAGTTAATTTCTTACTTTCAAAAGGAAATATTTAAATATATTTTTAACTTCACTTCTGTTTATCACTGACAATTTTCTCCAAACTGTCCATCTTAGCTATTCTTTTTGCACTTACTTTAGCTTATGAGTTTTAATATAAATATTGCTAAATTTATATCCTCCAATCTTCTTGCTTTACTGAGAACCAGAAAGTCAAACCCACATCCCCCTATCACATCTTGTCTTTCAAAAAAGGTCAGTAATTCTCTCTGACATTTGCTTTTGAACAATTTATAACCAATTTATTAACTAATTGAATTCCTGTTAAGTCTAGCTCATTTTGGTGACAGATTGAGTTATTTTGCTTAGTTTTATTCCTCACCTCAACCAGCCAAAGGAATTATTGTAAACCACTTATAGCTTAATTAGAAAACCAGTTAAATTATAATAGTTACAGGACATTTTATTCTTTGTGTATATTATTATTTAAAATAAATAAAATTCAGTAAAGTAGTAATAACAACCCTACCAAAACTTAAATGACATAAAAATTCAAATAAAAACATTACTCCATGAGGAAGGTGTGTGAGATGCTCATGTGTAATTCAATATTTTGTTTACTGTAACTTGCATTATGTTTTTACCAGATATTTATTACATTGTTACACAAGTTTCACAGTTTTGACACACTTCAAAGAACAATATAATATAAATTTAAATTAAAGCTATTGTAAAAAAATCAAAGGACTGAAAATTCGAGGATTAATAACTGTAATTGTCTGTTACAATATAGAATCATTTTAGAAATAAAAAAAAAGGTTGTTTAGATATATTTTGTATTTTAACATGGTGGCTACAAGATCAGTCAAAGGACCATATACAGTTAAAATAGGGAAAATAACAGATAAAATAAAAAATTATTGTTAAAGAAAACTTTGACATTCATTTAGGAGGTTCTAGAGGTTATGTAAATTAAATATAAAAACCTTAAAATGATTAAAAGCATTTTTCCTACTTAGCATTAAAACTACCTTGTACTCAAGACCAACTCAGTAAGGGCTTCAAAAATTCACAGACAAATCTTTAGGAAAAATATTTAATTAAGAAATTTAATTTGTATGTACATAACAGATCTGTTATGTTTACTAAAAGTCTATCAATTTTCAGAAAGATGCACTGAGTAAATTCAGAGTAACAGTATGTATACTTTTATGGTTATCTGGTGGTTACAAAGTCAGTCAAAATTACCATGCCTGTGTACAGAGGGTTAATACAATCAGTTACAAACATCAGGAAACTCTAAATAGAAGCTCTACTTTTATCCTAAACATAACAGTTTTTCGTTTTTTGACCAGTTCTGATGATGGAGTAAATATCTTCAAACCTGTACAACTGACTAAGTGTACCTACAGATATGACAGAATCTGTTGTCACTCTATTATGTACTCCCTAAGGTAACATCTATAGGATGTTTAGCAGACTATTACACTGTGAGAAATAACATATCAATACAAAAATAAAGTTTTATATGTACCTCAAGGCTGCTTTACAAAATACTTATAACCAGTGAAACATATTTTAAGCACCAGTTATTTCCACAGAAAGAGAGATTTTTTTTCAAAGTAATTCTCACTTCTGAGAAAACCATTTTTAGTAATTAACATTTTATTCTCTTATTAAAATATAGTTTATCAGGAGTTATTTAACATTTGACAAAACCATATCACTAAATATACCTTTCTAATATCTTAAGAAACTCACTTTAATTCTCCTTAAAGTTCAGAATATGTCAAAATATATGTACTCACAAATACTTAAATAAATAAATTATCCCATGTGAGATTTTTCTCTTAAAATAGATGTTAGCATGTGTATATACGCAAATTACACTGAAAACTGTAGTTTTACAAAGAACTAATTCAAATTTTAACCTAATAACACAAGGATGTAAACAAGATAACAAAAGGAAAGACATTCTTTTTACTTTCCACCATAGGTTGGATTCTTGAAAGTTGTGGTGGCTTGTTTGTAGATAGGGTTCTCTCCCTAATTGACAAAAATGGGCATTGTTATTACACAACACTAAAATCCTCAGGAAGATAAGGATAAAATAAGAAAACAAATCAATCAAATCCATTATTTCTTTTTTCTATACATCTAAAAATTTTTTTTCTAGTGATTGTTTATTTTGCTTTTCACTTTTGTAATGACTTACTAAGAGTTTAGCAACCACATGTTACATAAAAATATTTTATATTAAGTACACTACAAACTATAAAATTACCTCTTGTTGTTATTCAATGCAAAGTACAGCCCACAACCTGGCAAATAACTGTGTGTAAATTCATCTTGCTTCTAAACAAATCAGATGCCTCAGACTTTTTTTTTAACTTGGTTTAAAAAAAACATCTGTTTTCAAGTGCAATCAAATATTATTTTGTAAAGCTAAGCCTGAATTCTTTTGCAGCTTTAAATGTTTCCGCTAGCTTTATATTAAACTACTTATATCTCTTCAAGTGATATTCTATTGCAGTCATTCATGATTAAATTAGACTTAAAACCTGCTCTTCTTTTGTTAAAATAAAATGAAAAAAAAATATTGTAACAATACTGGTATCACTTTAGTTAAGGAATGGTAATACATATTTTTGGGATAAAACTTAATACTAGACTTATTCAATCTGTTATAAATAGAGAAAATTTTATTCTAAATACAAATTAGAAATTTTGCCATCATCTCGTAGAAAATAATATCAAACCCGTTTTTGCCTAAATTACACACAGTCAGCTAAGCTTTGATTTGTAGAAATTATTCATGAACATTATGCCAACTCTCACTTTCAAACAGAGCTAGGGAGATGGCTGCAGAACTTAGCTTTAGTTGATTAAATTCATTAATCTCTTAATGGATGCAATTTTAGTGAATATTTACCTCTCATCCCCATTTATTAGGGGTCCAACTATTATCAGTTTATTTCTAAGAAAATCTTGTAATTCTAAGCACAACTTTACAGTGTTTGGACATGAGTAGGACTCAATTTTCTAAATATAATAACAAAATGGCAGTATGATGATGAACATTACACTGATGCCAAAGTTAGGAAACTGTATTTTATGACAAAGATACTAATAAGGAATGTTTTTAAAATTCTAAGTGTCATGTGGGTAGCAGTGGCAAATGAAAAAACAAAACAAAAAACATTACTCACAGTGTCCCACTTCGCCATTTTTCTTTCATTCTCAAACTTGGCAAACTCACGACGATCGTGTAGGGTGGTGAGTAGCTTCCAAGTCAGTAAGAATGCTAATCCAACTAGGACAATCCCACCAATAACCCCTAGTACAATTGCTAGGATGTTGATTGGCTCTGGACAATCTGAAACAATGATTGCGGTAATTTTAATTTCAACAATACATATAATATTTCACTCTACATCGTAAAATTAAAAGAATAAAAAGGAAGAGAAGAATGAACAATTCTGATTAATCAAAATCAGAAGTTTGGAAATTTTGTACTGGAAAACACAATATTTGGGTTGAATATTTTCTGTAGAACAAAATATTAAAATAAGTACATAACACTTAATACATTTTGCAAAAATATATGAAATAACAAAACAAGTTAATAGTTGGACTAGAAACTTCCTGAATGATAAGATGAAATACATATCAGGCATATGACCTTTTACAACAATAAAATGTGACAAACAAGCAAAACATTGGACTTTAAGCCTTTCTGAAGATTAAAAATTGTAGTATAAAGAAATGCAGAATAGAGAATGAAAAAAATGCTGCTGTAACAATACTGCCATATCTAAACAGATAAATTTATTATATATTACATTTAAATATTTTCAAATAGAAACCTTTTAGCAATAACAAAAGATATAATGTGGATAAGTAATGTTTTGATGATTATAACATTTGATGCCTAAAAAAATTCCGACTAAAATCATCTTTCCCTTTAAATATAGAGGTTAAAATATAAGTAAAGTGATTATACAGCATCTTTCTTAGTATTTTTGGTATTATGAAGTGTAAACTGAACTTATAAAAGATTTCTTGTTGCTGAAAAGGTATGACATTAAATTACAAGACATATTAAAAATTCTTGTTTATACTTTAAAACAAATTTAATTTCACAAATTTTTAAGTTTAAAATAATACTTAGTCTTCAGAATTCTAAGAAAGCATGAACAACTTCATAATGATGCTTTAGCAAACAAATATTGAGGATTGGATATCAATTATAATAGTTGAATCTATATGTGCACTGAAAATATATAATCTCAAGTTTTTAAATCCTAGTGATTAAAATATAGTTACACGGGGAAGAAAAGAATGAGACTGAATACGTCATATTGTCTTGTAACATTTTTTGAGAACAGAAACATGAATAGATTTCTAAATTGACTTCTGGTAAGTTATATGTCACGAGAAAAAAATAATTTTTTCATCAAAACAATATGTGGTGGGGCAAAACGGCTCAGTTTTTTTAATTTTTCAGCTTATATACAAAAAAATAAGTAATGCAATATTTTCATAATAGAAAAAAACATTTAATAAGTATAATTATAGCATATGAAGAATAATAAATACTTTTAAGTTTACAATGAAGCAAATTATTAGCTAATCATTGAATTCAAGATAAAATGTTATTTTGTTACCTTTAGTTCTCTGAACCCAGACTAATGGTTTTTCGTTTTCATCAAGCTTATAGACGAACTTATATTTACAATCATCATCATCACGAAAAACACACAATCTCTGGTCTGATTCTGTGACTATGTAGTAGACAAAAATGTAGTTTTGTTACTAACTATAATACTTATTTTTATAACAAACAACATATTTTGTTTTTTACTCCTGAACATTCAAACAATGGGAAAAAAGCCTTGAGCTTATGCACATTAAAAGTCAGATATCCATTGTTCAAATATTAATGAAAAAAAATTAAGCAAAATTATATATATATATATAGTTTGTGATGCATAAAATTAAAAGGAAGAGAAAATAACACATACCAATTGAAACCATTAAAAAGCCTTCTTTACAATTATGTAAATTTTTCTTTTTTCCCCCTAAACATTTCCTTAACATATTCATTGGGTTGCTTCCATTTACACATTAACACTCTAATATAATAATCTAATACTTTACAGACTTCTTGTTTGATTAGTATTAAGAAAAAGTACTATATACAGATATCAATATCACCAAAAAAAGCTTATTAAATTACATGAGATCTATGTTTAACTGGACTTAGTTTGAAGCACTCTAACTTTAAACATCAAAATCTAAGTTTAATATTTCTACTGGTATTTTTATAAACCTTTTAGTAATACAAAATTTATTCTGTTTTTTTAAATAACAGGTTCTGTTTTACAGGAGAGTAAAAAAAAAAAAAGCTGAGTATTTCAGTAATAATTATTAAATGGTGCTACTCAGTATCTTACCTTCAGCTTCATTGATTTCTACTGGAATAAAAGTACAGTTCTTACATTCCTCAGTAGTTAATGGGCCAGATTCAAACATTAAACACTGCACACACTCCTTAAGATCTTCACAAAGACCAGGACAGGTCTATACAGTTAGAGAAAATGACACAATTATTTATTATCAAATAATTTTAGCTTCTTTTCTGATTAGGCCAAGTAAAAAAAATAAAAAAATAGATGTTTAGCATCCCCACCTGCTCCCTTTTTTTGCAGCTGCCTCCCCCACTTTTTGTAAAATTTTTTTTTCCTTTTTTGAATTATTGTTTTTCAATTGTAAAAAGAAGACTTCTGAATAAAAATGAGATGAACACAGTTGATTCATTTTGTCCCTTTTCTTTATTTGCCATAAGTTCTGTATCTTTTGATAAAAAAGTTAAACAAAGAAGACTTCTGTTTGACCCTTTGAAAACAAGTAACAATCAAGAAAAAACAGGGTACAAACTTTCTTTCAGAGGTCATTTTTTTAAAATGACCTCCTCCTTCCTTTTTTCAAAAACTCCAGATGCTAAACAGGTTATTTTTTATTACTTAGCCTTTTGTTTATGCTTCAAAGATGCAGTATTTAGCATGCAATGACTTTAGGTCAATTGTTGTAAAATGTTATGTCAGTTAAATAACTTTTCTGAATAAACAGCAAATATATATATATTTAAAATAACTGAATAACAGACCATGACAGAATTGGTAGGCTGTACAATATGATATGGGAAATGCCTATAGCACATGTCTTAAATGAAATAAGAAGTTATTTTATAAGACATTATACATTTTATCACAAAACAATTGTTTCAATTCTTATTTAAAAAAAAAAAGCCTGACAAAAATAATAGGGAAAATTTGTAACAAGGAATTTGAATTTATACACATAGTATTCATATCGAAAACAGATTTTGATTAACTTTTAACTTATTTATACTAGCAGTGATGACTCATGACTTTCAAACTTACAATGTGTTTCAAAATTCAAGTAAATTGAAGTCATATAATATTTTCACTTATCTATACAATAGTATGCTCTTTTCAAACTATAGAATAAAATAATCTGTTTGTCATTTAGATAATTAAAATTTTTTAAACATTTTCATATGGAAATTAAATATCACTATTAGATACTCAATATGACATGAACCTAAATATAACTAACACTCGTATCTAAGTTTTGCAAAGCATAGCCTTAACACAATGAAAACTAAGAATTAGAGCAATTATCATATACAAAATATCAACTAGTTTTATGAATAATTAAATGTGATAGGATAGTTGCATATTATTCAAATACCTAAAGTATATTTTAGGTTATTAGTGATGAGTACACGAATTTATATCAAAATCTGAAGTTAATATTGCACATAACATAGGGACAATACTTACTGGACAGTCCTCACAAAAGCGGCCACTGTATCGCTGATTTTCTGACTCAAAACACTCACATGTACCACACTTGCACTCTCCATGACCACTACAGATTTTCTATATTGGTAAAGAATAACTGAAATTTCTTACAAATATTACACAACTACACACTTCAGTATCTTGATTATTCTCCTCGACCTTTACAGATCTACAAATTTGCTGGAATACTACAAAATAGGTCTGAGTTCTTCAAACATAGCACAAGTACACTATCCAGTATCTTGGTCATTTTCTGTGACCATGTTGAAATCATAAAGAATAGGTCAGATTTCTAAAAATAAAAGCATAAATATATTATCCAATAACTTGATCACTCTCCATGATTTCAGAGCTACAGTGTTGCTGGAATACTATGGAATGAGTCAGATTTCTTAAAAACATTGCACAAATACACTATCTAGTATCTAAACTACTCTTAACGACCATTACATATTTGCTGGGGCTGTGAAAAATACGTAATATTACTTGTGTAAATAACACCTATTTTCATCTGAAATTCAAAACATTTTGATGCTGTGATTACCATTTAGTGTATTACAGGTACAGTACACAGTATTGGCTTATTAGTTTTAGTTACATATCAATAATACCTTTATTTCACAAAGGTAACAGCTGTATATATGTAACTATGTTACTACAAAGATGAACCTTGTTGATAACTATATCAGCTGGTGTAAGCACACAGAAATATGGTTCATTAAGCTATTGTCTATTCCCATTCATTTGATCATCATTTCAAAATTTTAAACTCTACTTTGTCCTGATGAAACAGTAATAATGCAATTTTGGCTCAATATATTTTTCAAATTCTAAAATAACAGGTTATGATTTTACTTCTCCTAAATGGCAAAAGCAATCCAGTCTGCACTACAATCATTAAGTTTTTTCTTCAGTTTTTTTAGGTGATCAGTTACATAATTTAACACTTTAATTAGGCAGTTTTAATTAAAAGAGATGATTTAGTTGTCTGACCCTAATTAAGCATTTCCTGTGACTGTGCTTGTTTTCTTGTATTTTTATCTCAGTAGAGAATGCTATGCAAATGCCTGTCTTGTGGCCTAGCCCCAGCTATTAGCAGAACAAATTACCATGCACTGCATATCAGTAGAAATATTTTGTTTCATAGGTGTGTGTATATATATATATATATAAATAGAAAGACAGGGAGATTAAAAAAAAAAGCAACTGTTTAAGTGCATGATCTGAATATTTAGTAACATTTAAGCTGTAGTAGTTTAACATTAAATTATACATGTTTAAGTTTTTTTAACCCAGTAAATCAAGCAATTTTAGAGCTTGACAATGGAAAGTTCGATCAGCTTACTGCTCAACTCGTTCTTGGTTTCACACACACTCAGCCGAGAACCTAGCATTCCTCTTTTTCGAATTATTCATTCCACTCCTTCATAGCCTATTTTGATGGACCACATAATGTAACTTTACAATATGAGAGTTATGTGCTTGTGTTGCAATGACTAACTGTATTGCTATATGTTAGCAAACAACCAAGTTTATCTCGTATGTACTTGATTCTAATTTCACTCATAATAATTGCAAGATTTTTATATAAGAATAATGTTGATATTCTGAAAATGAATTTTTACTTGCTGAAAATATTTTACTTTTGGCACAGTACAAATTATAAACACGTAAAAAATATTTTATGTATTAAAGAATTTTCAAAGTAGAAGATGGGTTATTTCCAACACAGTATTATTTTTATCACACAAAAACCACGTGTTCAATGTCTGCAAGATTACATAAATTAAACTATTTGTATATTAGCTTCAACAGTAAAAAGAAGTACTGCTAACCAAGTTGGTGGATAAAGTACACTCCAATATTAATTGTTAGTGGTGTGCTAGTTGAAGAAACTTTGAAAATCAACTATTTTTACTTATGCACAAGCAGGCAAAAGTCATAATTTTCCTACACTGAAAATATATTTCCGATAGGTACTTACTTCCACCCACATAAATAGTTATTCTTGTTCAGTGCTGCCATCTATATGCAAAAAATGCTTTATGCATGACACAAGCCTTCTATCTCCCCTCCATTGGAATTGGCTGATTCCACTGTGTCTCTCATGCAAATCATCATGTGTCAACCCTCCACCAATAGGAGTGTGACACACTCTCATGACGCATGTGACTCCCTCTATTCTATTCTACTGAACTATCACTTCAAGTTTTGCCAGAAGATGGAAGTACCGGTGTATCATGGGGAGGAGGGGTGGGAAGTTTGAGAAGAGGTAAGTACCTATCAGAAATACATTTTCAGTGTAGGAAAATTATAACTTCCAATACAGCACATTACCTCTATTCACATAAATAGCTAGAATCCCACACTGAATAGGTGGAGGGACCAGTGCAAGGGAAGAAAAGAAGCTTCCTTCAAAAGTGTGAAAGACACTCCCTAAAATGAGACAGTCAGATTTGAAGATCTGATGATGGGAACTGCACCACTCCTAAATCAGGTATACTCTTCCTCCATAGTAGAAAGATGTCGTATATATGGGTGGAAAAACAGTGAAGCACATACAATTGGGAGAGAACTATGGCCAGAAAGTGATCCAAACAATGCAATATTTATGAAACTCAATCCCAGAAAGTATAAAAGTGGGTCAAATGAAAAGGATATGCCCCTAGGTGTAGGTGTACACGGCAAGTCAATTACATTCAAAACCCATGCTACTGGGAACCAACATCCACTTGGGGATAGGATGAGGATCATACCGTCAATAAGTCAACTACAATCCAAAACCCGGCCATCAGGTACCAACATCCATGTGGGGGTAGGAAAGATGATCATACCACTGGCAAGTTGACAACAATCCAAAACCCAGGCCACTGGGAACTGACATCCATGTGTGGGTAGAAAAGAGGATCATACGGGAAGCAAGTCAACTACCATCCAAAACACAGCCATCTGGTGGAGGTAGGAAAGAGAACTGTACCGTCTTCAACTCAAGTTCATGAAACCAGAGGGAATTTAGTACTCCCGACTTATGAACGGACACATGTGAATATGAGAAACTGATATACTGATCTGAAAACCCGACATCCGGTACTGAAAAGATGTCTACATAATGTACACCCTCTCCCTCAAAAGTGAAACTGACCAGAACCACCCCAAATGCATTAACATCTTCAGAATAAGAAACATTGAGGGATAGAGGAAAAGGAAAGAAGTGTAATAATCCGCAATTACCTCCACTGTGACCTACAGCACTGACATAGTATAAATGAGGGAGGAAAGTGGTCGTTTGTAGTAAATGTGCGAGAACTTATGTTTATAATTTCTACTCTAAATCCAAAACCTGGCAACTGGGAACTGACATCCACATGGGAGTAGGATGAAGGGGTGAACTGCAATTTTGATGTCTCACTCCCATTTGTTTTTATATTTCATATTGGAGGATATCATATCATCTACACCAGAAGAACACCACCACCCTATTCTCAACTGAATGGTTTTATAATAATTTTATTCTTTGTTTGTTTGTACTTCATTAACCCATTCAGGATGATGCCTCCACAGTCCACAGTTCGAAAGTGGTATAGACTCTGAAACTCCACTAGAAGAAAAGGGTGGTAAAACGTGGTGGAGAGTCTGGAGAAACATTAACACCTGATACAGTGCAATGGGTGACCATGAAACCCTAGTTTTAAAAGCAGACCATACCAATTTATTAAATACAAGGCACACAGGGGATAGGCAGCTATCCCCTTCTGCTTTACCCATGTACGGTTCTGAATGGGCAAATATATGAAGCCATTCTATCGCAAGAATAAACCTACAAGCAATCTTGTGGAACATCCCATCTCTGCATTGTGCGTTGCATGGTCATGGAATTATAATATGCAAGTCTACATGACTTGACAGTGCAGAATTCAAAGGTTAAAGAATATTTGGTCAGGCACCACTTACCACAGAGTGGGATCAAAGAAAGAAAGACACAGAAATGGACACCAAAGAAGGAAGCCGTGCAGGCAATATAACAGAGAAGAGCATGTAAATGACATAGAAGTCTATCCAGATCAGGACAAGCATAAAGGTGTGAAATGGAAGGAAGGGAAAGCAGGTAAATGGAGAAGTGGAGGAGTTATCCTCACGAGTTGCCAAATTGTTAGGGAGGAAAAATGATCTGGAGAAAGGAGAAGATATGTAGAAGGATAAAGAGTATGTGAAACATTGACGGCAAAGAAACAGACCACTGACATCCATAGGTGAATAGGAGAAGGAAGGAAAACAGAAGAGAAGGTGAAATAAGGAGCACATGGAGAGTGGTTCGATTGTAGGCAAAGTTAGGCAGTGCAGGATCACATTAATATCCCCATCTGGAAGGGCAGCCCACCATGCCAGATGACAAATCCAGAAGGAACACATACACAGGTAAAGTGGAAGAGAATTAAATACCTTCAAGACTGAAAGAAACGAAATTTGTGGGACAGAACCACCCTAAATTTCAAGACCAAGGAGACAGAAGACCCTTAATCCAAAAGTCCAGAAAGGAAATCCACATGACCGAGAACAGTGGGTTTATAAGGGGAAAACCCTGAACCCAGAAAACAATGACGGAAAAATTCCATTTGTGTTGAGAAACTTCCATATAGGAAGTGCGAATGAAACAAGCCAGAAAAAGAGGCTAACCATTGGGAGAAGCCGGATCACCTTGCCAATGACCAGAAGAAAATCAGGCATGAAGACGAGCAAAGAAGGGATGGACACAGAGAAAAGGTAACAGAGTAAGAAAATAGAGCTGGAGAAGCCACAGCTGAGATGGCCAGGAAAGAGCTATCAGAAGGACTGAACACGGAGATGAATGAAATCACCCAGAAAAGAAGGAGAATGGGAGGATAGACAAATTCGTAGGTCCAATCCTGTCTGAAAACATTGATAGCCAGAGCAAGAAGATGAGGAACTGGAGACAAAAACCAGTGCAAGTTGTGGTTAAGGGACGTAGCAAAATCCTCAATGTGAGGAGTACCCCACTAAAGTCTGAACCACTGGAAAACACAAGGATCGAGAGACCACTCCATTGGATAAATGTGGTCTTGACAGGAATTCAATCCACAACAAGAGTGAAAGCACCCAGAACATGACTCACAATGATAGGAATATTGATTATGTGGGCCCAAAAAAGAAGATCCAACGTATGAATACAAAGGGATGGAGAACGAGTGCTGCCATGGTGATTGAGATAAGCAACCATTGAAGAGAAGTTGGAATGGATCATTAAAAGACAGTTTCTGGCCTGATAGAGAAAAATGAACCAAAACACAAACCAAAAGCTCCAGGACGTTGATAGGATAAGACCTCTCGGCTTAAGACCAAAAACCCAAAACCTTCCATTGGAAAAACCCACGCTCCCCTTCCCCGAAGGTATGCATCTATGAAACGGGGAAACCGGATGAGAAAGAGGAAGCTGATGTGTGAGGCATATCCAACCAACAATGACAAATGACAATAAAAGTAGGAGTAAGGGCAATAAGATACAACAAAGGATCCCTGTGTAATTCCACTGGTTGTGAAAAGCCCATGAAAGAGCTGTTGTATATTAACCTGACCTTAGGGGATCCCAAAAGCGATAGAACTTCTTAAGCTGTAATCAAACTGAAAACCCATTTAACAAAGTCGAAGATAAGGGCAGGCCCAACAGAGATGTGTGTAGAAAAAACATCCAAATGGACAAGATATTGGATATGTTGCAATAAGGGCTTCACCAAATTGATTATCAGCCCATTACAGCCACTTCCAGGAGCAGCTGAGAAGGGTAACATGTAAACTCCTGTTTGGAACGAGCGAACAGTAACCAGTCGATGAAAGAAAGTGCAACCTGAGAGCATACAAGTGATGAACGAATGCTCTGAAAGTTTCACAACACATACAGGGCAGAAGCAAGTCCAAAGGCCAGTGCACAAAACAGAGAAACCACCCTGTGGAGAATAAACCAATGACAGAGAGGAATGTCACAATAAACCTGGATAAAAAGTCCTCCTAAAGGTGAAAAACGAATCCAAGGCAGAATGGGACAGATTAAAAATTAGAATGAGGCAAGACAAACCTATTACAGGCTGACAGTTTCTGGTTTGGTGTGAGGACAACAAACAGCCTGGAGAAAGATAATGAACAGGTGCAAAGGCCTGTAGAAATAGAAAAAGTTGAACCTCCTAGGACAAAAGCTGATTGGTGGCAGAATCTCAAGTCATGTGGAAGGAAAAGGGTACCAATGACAAAGGAGTTGGGGAAATAAAAAGTACGGCAAGTCTCTCTGATGAAACCCAAAGAACCCATAGAACTATAGTGAAAGATCATCAAAGGGTAACAATATATTCAAACTCTTACTGGACTGAAACCCTATGGTTAGTCTCCAGCACTGATGGCAACATGCCCATCAAAGTTGAATAAAAAACGAGATGAGAATGGTAGATAAGAACCAGAACATGAAAGGAATAGAGGCATGGCTCCAACTGCGACAAACATGCAACCAAAGAGGAAAGGGTCGAGTGTTGATGCACAGATTACATACGAGCTTCCAAAGTTTCAGATACATGATCAAAACATATCATCAAAGAAAAAATACAGAAACCCCAAAAAGAAAGAGGCAGCAAATGTACCCGGGACAAGGTCACATCACAACCCAGAAAATCCCCACAACAGTGAAACCATGTGTGTAAAGCAAGAGCCAAAAATGACAAATGAGCCAACATGGAGGTAATAAAGAAACATTGAAAAACGTGAATGGGATAAAACATAAAATACCTGAAAAATTATGTTGAACAAATGCTGTATTAGGCCTAGCTGATTCTGCAGGAAGTGTTGGGTAAAAAATCATGGCAAAATCCGGTGTAAAAAAAGCTATCAAATCTTCATCAGCTCGAACAGATTTGGCTTGTTCAGGAGGATTATTAGGGCAAATTCAGGAGAAGGATGATGATCCATATAACGATCAATCTCACAACAGAGAAATCCAACAATGGGTCTCCCCAACTGCAGCCTGTAAAAAGAGTACTATAGGTATAACACCCGAAGTGGGAACATGAACCTAAGAATTCATTGTAAAATATGTAAATCAAACAAAAGCGTTTGATGTGAGAAGGAAAAAAAATAAAGACTGGGAAATTAAGCTAGATTAAAATATTTCTTCAATGTAAATTAAAAAAATACCAATGAAGAAATCCCAATTCGGAAATTAAACTATTAAAATCACAATTCACATGAAGAGCACGAAAAGAAAAAACGTTCGAACACAAGTACTGCCAACCGAGAAGTGATACTTTGGTAGAATGGAATAGAGGGAGTCACATGCATCATTTGAGTATGTCACACTCCTATTGGTGAAGAGTTGACACATGATGATTTGCATGAGAGACGCATTTGAATCAGCTAATTCCAATAGAGGAGAGATGGAAGGCTTGTGGCATGCGTAAAAGTTTTTTTTGCATATAGAGGGCAGTACTGAATGAGAATAGCTATTTATGTGAGTGAAGGTATAATATACCATATGGAAATACAAGGCATACAATGTTTTTATTGAAGATGTACGTTCATATTTTAAAGAAAAAATAATAACTAAACATATTACACAAATTCCAAATGTTTTTCAGGATATATATATATATATATATATGTTTTAAACAATATATGGATACTATATGTACACACATTTTTTCCTTGTTAGTGATAAACTCTGTCTCATATGTGTTAGACAATTTAATTATGACAGTATTTAAGCCATTAAATATGTACTTACATTGCTATCAGGTGCAACACATGTTTCGTTGGTTTTCCTACATTCACATGCATGTCCCATCCAATCAGACAGGCACTGACATTCTCCACATTCACATGTTCCGTGGTCAGGTCCTGTAGAAAAAAAGACAGACCTACAAGACATTTGATACATTCAAATTAATTATAATGATTTTTTTTTTAATTCGGAGAGAATAAAAATTAAAAATCAAACAGTTTTTGTTGAGGATGAAAGCCCCTGAAGAATCAAGAATTCTAAAAACACTAACAATCAGATAAAGATTAAAAATTAATTCTATAATCATCAGATGATTCCATATACTCAAAAGAAAAGCATCTGTGGATAGAAGATTCAACTGGTCAAAGATTCTTACAACAGCATGGATTTTTTTATAGAAATAATTTCTAAGTTACAGTTGTAATATAGAATAACTTCTATTCATCAGTCATCTAGATCAGTGTTTCTCAATCACTGGTTTACTTGCCTGCCCAGGTCTGTGGGATTTCATGAAAACAAACTGACAGAATATTCATATCTAAATCGTAGTGGTTTTTCATTGTACTTGCATTTTAGTTGTCTGTAACAGTTTAGGGAGACAGCAGGCCAGTCCCTGATATCACAAAGGTCGAGAAATGCTGATTAAGATACTGCTCTGGTATAACAAATGCTTTCAGAATACTAAGTCTATATGTATAACAATCTATATGATTTTATATCCACAATAATTTCCTGATGACAGTAATCATGTAATCATTATTGTTTAGTAAATAATTTTTCTAAAGTTGGAAGCAATGTTTATGTTTTCTAGGCACTGAGAATTTTATATACAATCTTGCTTTGCTAAAATATACATATTTGAATAAATTAAGCAGATGACACAACTTATACTACACCAATATATTCTTAATGTTTTTTCTGAAAGCTGGGGCCATTTAATTTTGTAGCTCCTTTTAATTATTTGTTTAGTTTTCTGTTATCATTTTAAGTATTTTTTATACTTGTTTTTTTTCTTACCCCTAAACGTTTTTGGTCAGTATGTATTCTTTGTTCTATTTATCTATCCTGGACACAATTTTCTGATTCAATTTTTTTGTACTGTCTCCATCTACCAGTACGTATTTTTGTCTTCTACCTTTTTTTTTTTTTTTTTAATGTCTGTTGGTTCTTATGCTTTTTCCACTAATATATTGAATACTTAAAAAAAAAAACACCCGGTCAATTTGATTAGAAAAGGCTAGAAAAATTTTGGTTTGTCTGAACAATAAAAATTTGATAATGAGTAATTTATGTTTAATTTCATACTTGTTGAAGCAGTGGTGGATAAAATAAAGAAAACGTGTCACGTGTGACACACCAGGGGAAACTCAGGATTTTAAAAAATATTGTCTTATAGAATTAAGAACTTAAAACTTATATCTTATTAAAATATGGATTATTACCTAAGATTTTATGCTATATAAATTGGTATAACATAAACAAAAAATAGTTTTATAAAATTTTGAATGTAAAACACTAAACTTTTGTGTCATGTGCAGTAAAGGATATTCGTGGCAGTAGGGTTAATACATTCATTTATTTCAGTGCTGTATAAATATGTCTTTTATCAAGACTAAAACTAACTAAAATACATAAATTAGAAATATAACAATATCACTTACCACTACAGATTTGGCCTTCATCACGATCACAAGAAAAATTATCACACTCACAAAACTTTCCTGTCACTTTTTCTTGAGGATTCTGTGATAGAGAGAGTGAAAAGTTATTGTCCTGTAAATATTAAATTTAATAAAACACTGTAGATTAAGTAATGTTAAAACATATGCATATTAAAAACAAATTCAAGTATAGTCACTAGTGGTTTCTAACCCCATCCCTCCATTCAGACCTTTGAGCCAGCAGTGTACCCTGATGCACATAATTTCTTTAAAAACATTAAGTGATTTATATCAATAACAACAAATAAAAATAAATAATTCAATAGTGTTAAAAACAATATATTAATCTTTAGTGCTGGCTAGTGGAATATGTTGGTAATTCATTGAGACTGCCATCCAATTTTGAGGTGGTGATTTTTTGTTTTAATGTTTTTGAAAGATTCTCATGTACTCCCAGAGGTATGCATACCATAGGTTGAGAACTCAAACTTTAAATTAATATGGTGAACTAACTAAATCCAAAGTTAAAAGTCTATTTCTATTGGTGATCATCACTAATCACTGAATTGATGAAAATGTTCAAACTACAAACTTGCCTGCCTAGAAAAACATTCACAAATTCCACAGTGACAGATTCCTCGTCCAGAACAAGACTTGGTGTCATTGCCACTAAAAAAGAAAGTAATTAGAAGATTTATAAATATCCTAGTATTTAATTGATCAACTGTTCAGATATTTAGTAAAAAAAAAAACCTTTGTAAAACAATTTTTATGTTTAATGTATACAATTTGTATTTTGCTAAAATACACACAAACCCTATTCATCTTTGCATTAAAGTAAGATTTGTATGCACACAGAAGCTCTATAATGTTACTTTAGGCAATAAGGTATAAAAACAACATATTATGTCCAAAATTCAATTACAGCTTGATGATGGCTATCTAATAGCATAAATTGTGTGTAACTATTTTTGTAGTTACCTTCATTCGTGAGGCTCTACCAATGACTTTCTGAACAACTGTAAGTGGAATGGTTCATATCTCAAATGAATAATAGAGAAACATTTCTAACATCTTTAGAATCAAGATCAATTTCAAGTAGATATTCATCTTTATAAAGTAGAATCATCTTTCTATAACAATTTTAGGTTCTACTCTACCTGCCCATCAGTCGATTTTAAACTGAATTTTATCTTTAGTCAGAAAACTTCTAGAAGGTGCCAGAAAACTGTCACACAATTTATCCTAACGTACTTAAAATACAAATACATGTATTATCTTTATTATCTCTACAACTCTGTCACTAAAACTAAAAAACAAGAGCCACTAGTACAGCCATAACACTGGGTTTCAATAACAAATTAGAGATGGATAAGTCACCATTGATTCCTTTATATACTTACAAGATACACTTGGCTTCAACTGTGGTAGGGTCTGCATCTTTAGAATCACATTCACATTTTTTTCCAGAACGGCCATCATAGCATCTACATATTCCACACTGATAGGTTCCATTACCATGGGTACATTTATCACTGTTTCTTTCCTACAAGAATATAACATGAAGGATAATACAAATGTAAACAAAACAAAATAGATTTGTATAAGTTTATAATCATAAGGACAGCTGGAACTCCATTCCAATCACCACAACCTAATGGAATTACACCTAAAGCAAACATAATGAACACAATATCTGAAAATTTATCTTCACTTTGAAAAGTCAATAAGCTTCATCAATAGATAATATTAAGTCTGTATTAAAATACTGGAGTTTAACAGATCCACTTACTGGCCTTATCTTACAGTGCAAAAACTAAAAAAAAATATATACTTATGAAAAAATATAATCATTAAAATATCAAATCATGATAAATCTCTAGGAAAGTTATGTGAAGTGTCATTTGTATAAACTGAAACAGTATCATACATATTTTGATGATATAGCTCTCCATGCAGCCAAAAAAGTTTCTTTTCTAACTCAAATATATTAAGTTCAAAATTTAAATTAACTACCATAGAAATTTAAGAAAGTTTTCCAAAGTAGTTAACACACAATTGAATTTCACTTGAACTAGTTATATTCAAATACTTTTGACACCACAGATAATTTGGCACCTGAAAAAGGCCTTTATAATGTAGAGATTTTGGTTTTTGTTCATCACAAAAGCTAAACAATTAATGGAGATGTGCGATAACCTTATCTATTGACTAATTTTTTTTTATCACTGCATTGTTGAGCGATCAGAACTTGAGAACCACTGAAATATACATTGATTACAAAGTGCTGCCTATGGCACTAGGCTTGCATCTCTAGCAACATACCACTTCATCAGTATACAAGCAAATTGTTTTTAGAAAAGAACAATTCATCTTCAGTACATGTATATATACACAAAAGCAATGATTAACCTACTTGAGAAAAAAACACCATTCCAAAACACACCTAAAGTTGCAAAAATACAAGACAATATTTGTAGAAGACTGACTAGCTAATTAAATTTATCAGTCATGATGGAAGTTAGATAATTTTGTTAGTTTTAATGCAATACAAAAATATTATCATTAAACTTGGAATAATTAACACTGCTTTCCTATAACTAATTGAATAACATTATGTAATATTTGGATTCTTAACTGACTGCTGCATTTACAAAGTTTATGTTTCTTATGTTTATTTTTCAGAAGTTTGTAAACATTCCCCTCTGTTTTTGTGTTTGTTATCCAGAAAGCAAGTAACAGCTGTGGATATCCTCTTGTAATAAGTTCACGGACATAAAATAACTTTCTATATTGCTTTATTCACTTATGTTTCTACAAAATATTTTTCATTTTTATTCTCAATCTTTCTTTTGTCACCAATTTTTAGTTCTTTACTCAGTGTGAAAACATAATATATTTGCAAACATGTCTTATAAAACAACTAGCTCAGCATAAACAAATAAAATCCCTCTAACCCTATTGCAACAGGTCATGTGTCAAAGGCCATTTGCTGACTTGCATTCGAAATTTTATTGAACTACTATTTCATGAATTTATGTCAATAAGTTTGGTATCATATTGTAGATTATAATTCAAATTTTAGTATTATAACATAAGTTAATTTCTTAATTTAAAAGTAAATATTTAAAAAACACACCTAAATATCAATTTGTGTGTGTCACGTGGTATGTTGAATGCAGCACTGGTTCAAATTAGAAGTTTGTGATGTCAAAATACAAAATTCAAAGTTTTGTACAAATTAGGAACTCAAACTACTGATACTGACAAGCTAGAATATAAAATAAGAACCTCTTACCTCTTCTATTTGCTAAGATATCGTTCATGTGCTGAATCAAACAGAGTGGGCCCACCACCCACCTCTTTCCATTTTTGGAAACTGTTCTCTATATACACTTACTTCTATATATGACATGAATAACCAATTGAAAGCTCAGAATGTCCCCTTAGTGGTTTTCTCAGCCATTTTGATTTGTTATTGAGTTAATTTCGATTTTTTCATGCAAGATTTCAAATGGTAAGGTAAGTCTTAGAGAGCTTGAAATTTCTTATTTGATAATTATCGGGAGATTATAAAGATTTTGCATGTGAAATTTGAAAATGTTCTTATGTACTAAAGTATTTTTAATCTTAAAATTAAAATTGCTTTACATGTTGGATAGTCAACATTCTGAAATAGAAATGTTTACGAGAAAATCTTTAATTAAAAAATCTTAGTAGTTAATTTAAAAACCTGATATATTATGTACGAAAACCTTGTAATGTAATGTTAACCAATAACCTTCAAAATTTTGTAAAGATGTGCATACATTATCAAAAATCATAGTATAATTCTTCTTGTGGATACTTTCCTAGTTATGAGCTGGGTGAATTCCAGCAAGCTTTTAAATATGAAAACAAATTAGACACTGTTAAACATTAGAAAGATATTTGGATTATAAAAAATTAAAGATAATAGATAAATCAAATTCATAGAATGTATTTTCAAATATCAAATTCTGCAGTAAAATAAGATTCCAGTAAAAAAACTGTAGGCTTCAGTAAAATATAAACTTTTTTCCCATATTCTGCATAACTGTGAAAATCTGGAGGAATATCAAATTAAAGTATTTTATATTTTTGATCATTTATAAACTTTTACATGAAGATTATAAATCCTATATTTATGTATGGATAATAAACAAATCACAATAATAAGAATCACAGAAATTTTAGTTCTTGTGTGATTAAAATCTTTACTATCTTCAATTACATGATGACGAAATGGTTTAGACTTCGTAAAATTATTTTCATCCAATAAGCTTTACTACTCACATCACACTATCAAACTTGGTAAAAATCAGTTATACTGGTAATTGTACTATATCTTTGGATTTACCTCATTCCATGGTTTCTCACATGGACATTCACAAATGATCTCCAAGTCTATCAACAAAGCTTCGTTCAAACCAACAGGATAGATTTGAACTGTCTGGTTCCATTCAGCTTTGTTCTTTGGACATTTTTTTACCTCAATGCTGGCTTCAAAACTTACCTAATAGACAGAATAATGTGAAAATTATGTATAATTTAATTCAAAAATCATCATTTAGTTTTTTAGCACTATGTCTACAACATTCTAGTATATAATAGATATATTGATTAACATAATATTTAAAATGCTTAAAATTTAATATGTATAAATTAGGATCTCAAAGGAAATATCTTAGTTATTTGACTGACAGTTCTTGGGCACACATTTAATAAAATCAGTTGACAACTCCAACATTTTTATAAATGCACAGAACTTTATTGTATAAAGTTAAAAGCAAATATAAAACTAAAAAACTATACACTGTCTTCAGAGACAAGATAACCACAGGAAATTTCATTTGTATATTTATATACATGAACAATTTCCATATTGTATAGTGGCACTGTTTACAAAACTGATTTCCAGAAATTTACTTCCATGACACCAAGACCTATATCTCTATTCAAAATAATTTTATTTTTAGAAATTTCTAATGATTCTCTTATATTTAATTCGTTTTTTTAAGTCTACTTTAAGTATTTGTATATTATGTCTCCCATAACATCACATGACTAGTTTGCCACATGTCCCACTATGGCTGAATCACTGGTTTTTAATTTATCAATGGCATTGTTCTTTAATTCGAAACCTCAAATTTTTACTTGTTTGTCCGATATAATTTAAACCACAACTACAAGAGATTTGATGTATTCCACATCTATTCTCTACTTTAGTTTTATTTTTAACACCATTAATGATATTAATCAATTTTAATTAAGGAGTAAAGTTATTTTTTATGAACACATTATCTATTTTTGTTGACAGTGGTGGAACATGTATCAAACATAGTCTCTCTTTGTTTCCCTTACCTATTGTCTGTAGTTTGGTACATTCAAAAACTTAATTAATTGTACTTTATTAGAATGTTTTTTATAGATCCTATATATATAAATAATATCAGGTTCATAACATCTATCAATTATTATATATTGTAAATAATTCAATTCTAACATTAGATCTTCATTAAAACTTGTTGTTTGGTTTAAGTTATGTTAGACAGACAAGTAGAGATTTGAAGTTCCAAATTAGAGAACATAAAAATGTCATTGATAAATTATTAACTAGTGATTCAACCCTGGCGGTACATGTGGCAAACTCTTCACACATAATAATGAGTGGGACAATGTACAAATGCTTAAATAAGTAGAGTCAAAAAACTAAATAAATATAAGAGAATCATTAAAAATTGCAAAAAACAAAATGATTTTGAACAGAGATTTAGGTTCTGGTATTTCTAGAAATCAATTTTGTAAATAGTGCCACTATACAATATGCAAATTGTACACATACATTTCCTTGAGTATATAAATTAAATTTTGTGTGTTTTTCTTGTTTCCTGAAGATGGTGGAATAGGTTCCACCAAAACACAGTTTCTTAGTTGAATATTTGCTTTGAATATCAGAGTGATCAACTGATTTTATGAAATATTTTACACTGAATATATTTGTTTTAAGTTATTAGAGAAAGATATTAGAAGTAAGGGTTGATTTGTTTATAATTTCAATTCATCCAACTGTTTATAAAAAAAAGAACTATTATTTTAATATTAAAAAAGTATTATTACATTATTCAACTATGAAAGAATATAATACAGCATAAAACAGCATCAATGATTTTGCTTATAACATAGAACACATTATTTCAAAAGATTATTAATATGTTATTACCAATTTTCCACAAACACTACAACTATACTTACACTGTTACCAACTTTCAGGCCTTCACATTCATTGGTGTTTCGTCTCTGTCCTCTAAATATAAAAACCATCAACAGGCCATAAATAATCATCACAAATAACACAATATACTGAAAATACATGAAAATACATAAAAAAAAATTGTATTAATCTTGATCCTAAAATATAGTTATAGATAAAAAAAACATACCCACCAATGCACCCTCACATTTTCATTAGATATATATATATATATATATATATATATATATATACACACACCAGACGTTTATTTCTACAAACTTTATAGAACTTATAAAAGGCATATGTTCAAAGAATTTCATTTTTCTCCTATGTAAATAACAAACACAAGAACTATTCAGCAATAATATAAAATTATTTTATTTCCCACAGTACAAAAAGGTTGTGTTATTTTAACTCACACTATTAGGTAAGTGGGGCATTATATACCGACCAAACGATCTACGTAAAAATGAGATCCATACCCACTATTACATTATTAAAAACCTCTGTTGATTTGTAACTCAGTACATTTATCCAATTAAGAAAACAAAATTACACTTGTATTAGACTACTTATTTTTTGTTTCTAGATGTTCTTCCAAAAAGCACGAAATTACATAACACAAACAACATAATTTATGGTTTCATCAGAAAAGATCAACTGGGTTAGTTTTTTTTTTTTTAATGGAAAAACTTGATGTTAGAATTAGAAGATGAAAGTTAACACTGAAAATCACATTTTAAGCTAGAATAATGAACATGGTAATAAGATATGCTTATTCAACATCCAGTTTTTGAAGGATGATTGTCAACAACATCTCTCTCTAGGTACCATATCCAAAAAGAACATAGATATCTTTTCCTTGAGGCACAAAGAACTTCCAATGTCTTAGATAGCCTTTTGATATAAGTAAACCTCTGTCTTCCATGGTCTCTTCTTCCTTCAACCTTTCCGGTTAGGATAACGTTCAATTTCTTTATAACATGTCCTAGAAATTCTTTCTTATTCTGATGTTAGTCAGCACCTTCCTCCTGCAACCTGCTCTTGACAAAGTATGTTCATTTAAAGTGTGACCTGTCGCACATAACTTTGAGGACCACAACTCGACTGCTTCAATTCTCTTTTCCATACATGGCAATACTGTCCAACATACTAATCCAAAACTCTTAACTTCATATCCATAAACGTTTTATTATTTGTCAGTATCTTTTCAGAAATGTGTCTATTGCCATCTCTATTCTCCATCTTATTTCATGATCACATTTACCATCTGATATTCTCCAACTTCCCAGGTTTTTGAAATTAGTGATCTGCCTTATCTACTTTGACAATGCATACAGGAATGATCTTCTTTGTAATTACCATGCATTCTGTTTTCCTACAGTTAATACATAATATAACATAACTGGTCCATCTTGGCTGTTCCATCCTCTAAACTAAATTAAAATAATTAAAAAAAATCTTAAACTAGCCCCTTATTATTCATACATTTATCAAGCTTTTTCTTAAACTCACTTAAATTTACTGCCTCTACAACATCCATAGGCAACCCAATCCAAAGGCACCCTGTTAGAAAAATAAAACTGTCTTTGCTGAAGATGACTCCTACCTTGTTAAAATTTATATTTGTCTAGTACTACTATTATCACTGTTAAATATGAAAAAGATGATGCATCAACACTATCAATTCCCTTTACAATCTTAAACACCTCAATAAGAGAAAACAGTTTAAAAGATTTCAGCTTCTCTTTGTATGACAAACCCTCCATCTAGACACCATTCTAGTAACCCTTCTTTGAACCCTTTCCAACAATTCATTGTCTTCCCTAATGTAATGAGCCCAAGACTGAACACAATATTCCAAATGTGGCCTAACCAGTGAACTGTACAATGAAATTATAACTTCTTTAGACTTGTATTCAATATTTCTGTAGATACAACCTAAAATCCTATTTGCCCTACCGCTAGTAACACCACATTGCTTGGATGGTTTTAGAGACTGATCGATTATCACAATAAGATCCCTTTCCTTCATAACTCTGTTAAGGTTTTTCCCATCCAAATTATACATATAATTCAAATTATGATAACCCACATGCATTATCTTACATTTATTATAATTAAAACTCATCTGCAATTTATTTGCCCAACTCACTAAATGATCTAAACCCTTTTGTAAATCAGCAGCATCCTCTCCACAGCTAGCAGAACCCAAGACCTTAATATCATTTCTTCTCACTTTCACTAACAACTTTATCTAAACGTTTTTGCAGCTTCTCTTCTGAATGAGCTATATTAAAACTGTGTCATCAGCATAATGCAAGTTGTTCAAATTCTGTCCACCAATGACCAGCCCTGGTGAATCCTCAACCTCCCTCAGGATTTTCTCACTGTACAAACTAAACAAGTCAGGTGAAAAGACACAGGCTTGCCTCACACCTCTCTTAGTTTGGATGAAATCACTTAATTTATTTTCTATCTTCACTGCTGCAGATTGGTCCCAATTTAGGTTTCTTAAAATTCTCAAGTCTTTACCATCAGTATACAGTTCTTCCAGCATTTCAATTAACTACACATGCTTGACTCATCAAAAACTTTGGTATAATCAATAAAACACAAGAAAAGGTCCTTCTTCATTTTTATTACCCTCTCTGAAAGCATTTGTATCCTGAAAATAGCATTTATTGTACAACAATCTTCAATAAAACCACAATGAACTTTTGCAATCTCTGGTCTTATTCTACTTCTACCTCTCATCATCAGCATCTTTAACAGGATCTTTGTCACATGGCTCATTAAACTGATGATTAGATGGTGTTCACATTCAATGGCTTCAGATCTGTTGGTGAGTGCAATAAAGATAGATTTACTGAGATCCTCAGGTATTTCACCATTTTCATAAATCTCGTTAATAATGGTTGTTAACTTTTCTATATCAAATTCTTCCAAACAATATATTTGTTCTACTGCAATTTCATCTAGTCATGTAGCTTTATTGATTTTTTATTTTGTTGATAACTGTCCGTATTTCTGACTTAATAATTTTAATAGATAGCTTTTCATCAAAACTGTCATGGAATAAATCTTCAATATAATCATCATTTCAATACTTGTTATCTTTCCATAATTACATCACCATTCTTAGCTTTTATACATCCACTAGAAATGCATCCTCTATTACCTGTGATGGTTTTAATATTCCTATGCATTGATGTAGCATTTTCATCCTCTTGTTTTTTATTTCTATACATTTTTCGTTAAGCCATTCTTCCTTTTCTTCATTGCACATTGATTGAATTCTTTTGTTGAGCTTCTTATACTCTTCCATAAAACAAGTTTTCATCTTCCTTCTATCTTCCATGAACTCAATAATTTTCTTTGTCATCCATTTCATCATTAATGCTATAAAATGTTTTTAAAAGATTCTCAGCCATAAGACAAAACAAATGTCCTTGATTTTGAAGTATTTTTCCTTGACCTATTCTACTTCAGATATATGATAGTAATAATTTAATTTTTTACAAAATAGATTATGTGTGAATCCACAAATTCTAAATAGTAACAACAGCCTGCCATAGCTGAAACAACAATGTACAGATTGAACCAGCATATTTCTTTAAAAACTTTCTAACAACTTTTTTTTTTCCCTCAAACTGTGAACCCTGTTTTACTTTTCATATTCAGAGTAGTTTAAGTTTAATTTGGGGAAGGGGGAGGAGCTCTTAAAAGATAGTAGAGTTAATAACACATGAAGTGATAAACTGTTACATTACTGCATTTCAATGCATAATTAGTATATTTTAGATCTGTTAAGAAACATTTTCCAATCTTTATACTTTAAGTGATATGGCTCACTAGTACTATGTTTATTTTTCATTCTATAAAGAACAATAAATATTGTTAAAGTTAAAAAACATACGACCAGCAAATTACTCAATACTTTATAGTATGCTGGTATGACTAAACATGATAATAATGAACAAATACCTATTAATTTATAGGAAACATCTGTAATGTATATATACTTCCAATAAAAAAAAGACTCACTACAACAACAAGTATTAATGTTTTCTATATTTACTGACAATCTTAGGCTAATTTTGTCATTTAAAAATATCCCAAATTAAATGACTTGAAAAAAAAAAGAAGTCACAATTGTAGTGATTAGTAGCTCATATACTTTCTCATCTCAAATTAACTTTTACTAAGTCACATTAGAAGAGACCTATTCATTTTATTGCTAGAAAACTGGGTAAAGAGGGTATAAACAGACATGTGGAGTTCAGTGCTAAATGCCTGTTGTAATTCTTTTATTCTACATGTCGGATAGCCAAATACAACATTTCTTTCTGGATGAGGTGACACGGAAGAATATTTTTTAGTCACTAAAAATATCTAGAAACAAAATTAGCAAGAAAATATGAAAAATTCAGAGGTTTCATGCAATGTAAAATGTCCATGAAGTGAATCCTAGGCATGAATAGAGAACTTCAGAAACTAAGCATCTAAAATTAAGATTTATTGAATAAATTCAACAATGCTAATTTCTTGTGAGTTTTGACATAATAGTAGTACTACAAGTGTTTCTGCAGCATATCATAAGATTTTGTTCTGAACTTATTGACATTTGCTTACAGATAAACAAATAATTACGTTTTGCTATTTTAGGCCTAACTTAATCACTTAGCCTTTCTCTCTTTAATGCTTTACCCCCAAAAGTTTATTCAAGATTTTCTTTTGATACTCAGCAATTTCTGAATTATTTTGAAAGCACAATAAACATTTTTTTTCCACACTGAAGTCAGATTCACATAGTATGAAAAGCCCAATAACTTATACACACATAAATTGCCATATTTTGTTAGCTTTGGCTATTAATAAAATTGCTATTTTGGGGCAAATGGCAATATTCTAGAAGAGATTCAGGTGTCATTCACAAATTTTAAAATTGACTACACACTAAAACTGGAAAAAATTTGTTAGAAAGAATATGTTCATAAAAATATTGTGTTTCACACTTGGTAAACGTAAACAAAATATGGGAATGAATTAATGAAATCTTTATCACTCTGTTCTTTGTTAAGTACTATGAAGAGTTAAATATAGGGTTAAGTACTATGAAGAGTTAAATATAGGGCACACAACGAAAAAATAGGTAAAATATAAAACTTTCTTTAAATAAAATATTTAAACTTTCATACCCAAGACAGGAAGAATAATATTTAATATCAATAATTTCATTTCTTGCATTGTCTTGTAGTTTGACTGTTGAGGTGATTTTCTGTGGAAGAAAAATCATTTACATGTTATGATTCAAGTCAACATTTGAGTGTGATTATTTACTTACATGTTTTCTTTAGGGTATGTTGAATATTCAAAAAATGTTAAAGAGAAAAAAAAGAAAAAACTTTCTGGTGGATATGATTCGCATTTTTATGTTTGAAATACAGTTATAATCCAAACAATTGCTAAGTAAGGCATTGTTAAATTGATTATTATTAGAAGTTTGTAGGATCAGAATAAATCTTACCAACTGTAATTAAAAACTGTCAAAAGTAATAATCTGCTCTAAATTTGTAAATATCAAAATTGGTAAAAATGTTAGAAAAAACATAACATGTTATAAGAAATATTTCAATACATTTATGGCTACAAACATTCCCACGTACAACTTACACTATACTGGCCTTTCACAAGTTCCACTATATTAGAAGAATCATTTTCTAATCTTCCAACAGTAGATCCTTCCAGCTGGTCACTGAGTCGCTCATAGATGGAAAACTGATCACCTGTGACAGCAAAGATAATATTCACTTTGTTTCTTTTTACTTGCATGTTAATATGGCTGAGAGATGGATAGTCTTGATGGATACTCATGTTGTAATTACCATACTTATCCAGGTAGCAGAGGCCATCATTTGGCTTGACAATTCCTCCCAACTATCATAAAAAAAAAAGAATCTGTTATCTTTTATGAACATAGTTTTGTATCAGTCAAATTAAAAGTAAAAGAAAGATTGGACTATGCAGGGTTTATGTTGGCCTACATATATTCTATATTAAGCTTATCTAAGATCTCATGTACACATGTACAAATTATGAAGTTCTTTCAAACATACCATGCTAACAACAAAGCTTACTTTCCAGTAGTGTTCTCTTGTTATTTGTGTGAGTAACTTTTCTAGTGAATTTTCTTACACGAGATAAAACAGGTTTAAAACAGTGATGATCTGCTGATTGTGTAATATAACAAAACAGTTTCCAAAAAAAAAAGATATGACTATAATAAGTGCATGCTCATATTGATCAGAATACACACCTTTTGATGAACCAAATTATTTCACGAGTTTGTTTTGTTTACAATGTTTTTGTGTTAGTATTAAAATATATTACAATACATATCAGAAATAAGTCTGATTTAAAACAAATCTCTGAACAATATGTTGTGGGAAAACCCATAAATGTCAAGGGCCACCTGAGGTCACTGGAAACTTTGGATTTCTAGATGCTCTGTGGTATTATCTGGGCATATTTTGAGGCGTCATTGAGAGTTCACTTAGGAGTAGAAAAGTTGAAATAAAACATTCACAAAACAGCGAAATATATCTATTCATTCACTTCATCTTAGTTTCTTTTTATCTGTTTGGAAACTGATATATAGAGTAAAGTGACTGTTTTTTGTTTTTTTTCTTTTACAGCAGGTACCATTGGTATATAATTACCATTAACTTAGGCCTTCCTGGCATAAATTAATGTTATCATCCTGACGATGAAGATATTACCATAAGTTGCAGAATAAAATCATGACCAATATATACATATGTGTGCAGCATTTATTGACTGTTAAATATATCTCATTTAAAAATGGTGTAATTTTGATAACGTAACACAGTTCTAGATGATCACACAAGCAACTATTTAGAGACCAGACAATAAAAGATAGGGAAATGAAATTAGCACTTACAAAAGAAAGTAACAATCTTATTCCATAAAGTTATGTATAACGGAGAAAAGCTTTTTCCCATCGCATGAGATTAACTATACTTTAGCCTAAGGAAATAATTGCACCAATTTGCCTTTTAAGTAATTTCAGTCAAGTTTCCAGTTGTGTTTTAGAAAAATTATGACAGACTTATGGAGACAGATGTTGGAGTAATGTATAATATGCTAACCTTTCCATCTCCAGCATGGTGAAAACCACTGTCTGAGGAAAACAGCAGGATTTTTCTTGATTTGTTTCTCCATGCAATATGATCCTATAAAATATATACAATAAAACAATCTGAATACACATTCACAAAGGTAGAATATTAAAGCACAGATGAAAATACAGTATCAGAATTATCAAATTATGTTTTTCACTTGTTAGATAAGTTTTAAAACATTATAATACAACAGATTCAGCCAATGAACTGGTAACAGTTGGGTTAACTCTAAGCAACAAGACTCGCATTATTTTCATTTCCCACTCAATAAAAAAATCAACAGTTTTATGTAAGGTATGCCACATTATTTAATTTCAGATAATTGCTCAACACAAAATTTTATAATAAGTCATTCATATATTTTTTTACTAGTTTTATGGATCAGCTCTAACACTTCAGAAATGTGTCATCAGAAGTGTGTTCTTGTTAAACATCACGTTTTCACACTTTCAAACATTTTCTTATATTCCATCAAAATAAGTTGACACAAGACAGAAAAAAGTATACAGAAAACATTATTGTTTATTTCTTTGCTTCAGAATTTTCACGCTAAGCTACACAAGAGCTATCTGCATGTTGATGCTCCTAATTTTAAACTGATAGACTAGACAGAAGGCAGCTAGTCAACAGCACCCACTGCCAACTCTTGGGATATTCTTGTCTGACCAAATAGTAAGATTTGACTGTCACTCTTACAGTGCAGTCAAAAATCCAAAATTTGTCTGTACCATAGTGACAGTAAAGTTTGGAGTATAATTGGTCCAATATAGGTGTTTTAATGACAGTGCAAGCTGGCATTAGCTTATCTGGGTAAATTATCCCATCCAAAGATTTACAATAATTAATCATTATGATATTAAGTGAAAATATGAATGCTACTGTGAAGCATTTTGAAGATGTACTAGATGCTATTTTCATCATGGATAATAATACAAGATTATTAACTTGTTTTTTATTCATATTTATGGCAAAGCAAGGAAGGTTATCTACTGCTGTTGATAATTTTGAACTACTGACAAGAGGGAATATAGCCAGTCAGCAGCACCCTACCACCCATGCTAAGAAATTGATTGTCAATCTTATAATGCACCCACAGTTTAAAACATGAGAAATATTTTATGGTATCACACAGATTAGAACCTCACTCATGAGCTCCAAAATATAAAGTTCTACCACAGGGCCAACCCATGCCTATATTAACTGGCAAAATACTGGTTAAACTGCAGAGTAATCTCATTATTATTAAAACAATCAATGTTCCATCCTACTAAATTTGGATCAGACATATTTTTATAGTGAGAAAGTACATAGAAAGGCTCTCAAACAATATAAACAGGATTCCAGAACGACAGAGATTCAATCAGATCACAGAAAGTGCTTTAAAAAATAAAAACCTCTTCATACAAGCTTGTTTACAGATATTTTACATTCAAAGATTATCAGAATCTTTTCCAAAAATTAATAATTTCCATTGACTGATTCTTTATATCTATAAACATCCATATTTTTAATTGTAAAGTGTAGTAAATTCTTCCCAGCTATTTTTTAGAATATAAAACAGCTACAAGAAGCCTAAAGATATATTTTCCCTCAAGCTATTTTTTTAGGATGTGTGTACTTGAAAATTAATATATTGCCAATAGAACAAATTAATGCAAATTTTATTATGTATGTGATAATATACTCAGTAGCTGTTGGCTTTACACTGTAGGTCAAGACTGAATCCTGATAATTCATCTTGAACTGAAAAGGTTTATAAATTAAAAAAATTAAATAGCCCCGCCCCCTACTAACACAGCGGTACGTCTACAGACTTATACCACTAGAAACCGGGATTCGATACCCGTGGTGGGCAGAACACAGATAGCCCTTTGTGTAGCTTTGTGCTTAATAACAAACAACAACAACAAGAACAAAAATTAAATATTGTAATAATAACTCACATGACAAACAACTGCTTGCATTATGGCATCAAAACCACCTTCTGGAGCATCAAGGTTCCCTGAGACACTGGCAGCTTTAACCTGTTTTTCAAATTGCTTGGTATTGATGCTTAAAGGCATGTGGTTCTTGAAGCCGTATGGAGGAGCACAATTTGTACAGGGTTCTACTAATCTAGAAAACAATTATTTTCTTTATTACAAGACTTAGAAATACATATTTTGTGTAATCCTAATCAATAAGTTAAAAATGTGGTTAAAGAGCTTTAAGAAACAATAAAACATCAGGATGGAGAAACCTTGTACATTTATTCAGTGACAAATATGCTACTGTCATTAATCAATGAAAAGAATAAAATTGATTTTAAACAATATTATAACACACTAATTTTATCAATTTACAGCATTTATAAAAAAAAAAACTTTTAAATTCTTATTATCAGGAGAAAATTATAGGATTCTTATTTTGCATTTAACACATACTTTTCCGGTATAGCGCTGACATAGGGCATAACAATCTTATCGACAAAAGATCCAAATCCCAGATGGAAATTGTTGGTGATGTTTCCCATGGTAGTAGCCAGCAGGTTTCCTAAAGCAGCTAGCTTATCTTTGTCGTCTTCCATGGACTTGGATAGATCCATCAAGTAGTACAGGTCTACTGGATAGTCCACTGCTTGACGAAACTCCACATTTAAGGAAAATGGACTTTCTAGAAAAAACAAAAAGAAACAGTAAACACATTCAAAGCTCCATTGTCATGTCACTTTAATCACTGCTTGCCATATTGCAATGCCATTAATATTAATTATTTCAACACTTACAGTTGACAGAATACTACATTATGGAAGATTCCATGTTAATGACACATTCTTCCTCGACAGGTAAATTATAATAACTTATGAATTTAAAATCTATCATTAAAATATATTAAAAAAAAATTATACAATTTATAAGTTTTCTGTTTAGTATAGCCCAAAATCAATAAATAAATACTGACTCACTGATAAATTCCATACTGCTCACACCATTTTTAGATGCAAAAGTTTTTTCTATGTACGAATTGATGCCTCAAGGTCATTACACTAACTCAAGTAATGTTAAGCCATTCCTGTCAATAATCACAATTACACCAAGTTCTACACTTGTAGGTCTAATATAAACTTTAATATATTATAATTTCATCTAGTAGACTAAACTCACTTTCTTTAGTAGCACGTAAATATTTACTGAATGAGGCCATTTTTCTACCTCTTGGTTGACGCTAATAGTTAACTTTCAGGTTTTAGTACTCCGTATGGAATCTGCAAGTTCCTCACAATCTTAATGTTAGGACTATTAAAATATTTTATTGAACTCCTTTTGTTATATGAATTTTTTTTTTTTCCATGATGTGTGATAAAGTAGAACAATCTTAATGATACGGCTATCAAAATATTTTGTAGAACTCCATTTGTTAAAGGCAAATTTTTTCAATAACTTTTGATAAATGTTGGAAATTTCCAAACAAATTTTAAACCATAAATGACACAAATATGTTATGGGAACTAAATTTTATATAAGTCTAATGTCAAGCATGTAAAGACATGAGTGCTAATGTGACATCTAGTACCAGTAGAGAACTTTAAAAAGATTCAGTTATATATTTACACTTTTAAGCCCTCTCAAGTAATCAATTTAAGCTTTCTTTGCTCAGCTATAACTACAGTAAAAGATAAGTGAAACTACTGTTTACTGACATTCTTCACGTGAAGTAATGAAAAGATAAAGCTACTGTTTTACATAGATACAATATCACTGCACTCAAGTGTACTTAACAAATTAGCTAACAGCCACTGATGCCTTTATCACATCTACCAGCTTGTTTTCACATGTAGCAAGTAGAAAAACTGTTGAATTATGTCACGTATGTTTACACCAAAGTTTCTCTCAGATTAGAGGTGATTCCATAAATAAAAGTATCTAGTTTTTATTGGACATTCAATATCAAAAATGCTATAATACTGTCAAAAGTCATTACAGACTTTAATGTTGCACACAAAAATCAGTGAACGAAATATGAAAGTAAACCAAACTATTTCAAAAGATATTAACTAACTGTTATAAAATTTAACATATGCATCATCTACAAAACGATATTTTATCTACAGGAACACACACACACACACACACCTGCCTTTTTATATTCTAAAGGCATCACATGTAAATCATGTGTTATTTTTTTCTTAACTCTTTCACTGTCATGGGTACATATATGTACCTCTCAAGAGCACTTCCATGGGAGTTTAATGTTTCTATCATCATGAAGAAAGGATATTCTCCTTCAAACTTCCCAAGGTTGCCAGTTTCAATATTCAGAAAAAGTAATGAAATATTAATACGTTTTTTTTTATATACCTAAAAATACACCTGACACAGTGAGAATTGATTATATATACATCTGGCAGTAGAGAGGGTTAATGAGCACTACTAAAAGGAAATAATTACTCTTCATTTAAAGTTTGTCAGTAGTGTTACGTATTACACTTTCAAATAGCCTAAAACTGCGTTAAATTGTAATTTAGATTTAGTAGTTAAATAAATGCCGATATGTATCCAATTTATGATATTTGCCAACAAGATTGATACACACAGTTTTCTTTTTTAATACAAATATATTTTCATATACAACCAATAATACAATTTACAATAACAGTTATTACAAACAATGATTTTTATACAAAAGTTTTACAAATTTACAAGTAATATAAAGTCTTCTTTCTAGTCTGGAACTTCCTTGATATCTTACCGAGGGTTCACAATGAGAGATTTAATTTCGAGTTGACATAGGTACAACTCACTTAATAGGGAGCTAGCTAGCTCTGTGATCTTCACTGATCACACGCCAATTTTTTCCCACCGATGAAGTTGGGTAATGCTTTCATAAAAGTACTAATGTCTGATGTGGATCCACTGAATTTACATGGTTTGTAATATTCGAAATTTATAAATGTTCCTAGTCAAATATTTGAAGTGTCCCGATTAATAAGCATTATAACAATCACAGTTATAGCTTCTGAAGTTTATAGCACACCAACTATAGCAAACCCATAATAGATACTGTTTTTAGGTGAGTCACATTGGTTATATTTATAGGCGTGTGGAGAATTTCTCGAAATTTTAGTCACGCAACAATACAAACGCTTCACTAGTGTTCACGTACACACATATATTGTTGATTCTTACATTCGAAAATCTTCTACAACTTTAGAGAATAGATGGGAATTTTGCAATACATATTTAACAGTATAAGCTATGTATGTTTCTAAATATAAATTTCATTTACACAAACATCGATATTAAAATAAATATGTAATAGTAAATCTGCCACACTAGAAACTTCACAAAGTCAGCTTACAAATCAAAAACTAAATGGGCTGTTAGGATGTTTTCTAATATCAGAGTGAATAACAATAATAAGAGATACATTAATCAATATATTACTACTAAATATACAACAGTATCAAAGTATGCTTTAGTGACACCATCTATCATTCTCAAAAGTTTCAATGAGAAATATTTAAAAGAACAAGATTTCAAAGATGGAATTCTGGAGGAATATCATATTAACTAATTCAAGTTACACATATAGGTTTTTTCTTGAAAGGTGATATGTAACATAAAATGAGTGTGTAAGGGTGAAAAAGGTTTTATAAATGACTTAAAATCAACCAATATTAAAAAGTGTACATCACTGTCCTCTTTTTGTTTAACTTTAATAAGTGCAGTAATTAAAATTTTATGGTATCAACTAGATGGAATGAATGTTTAACATCTTGAACTATTTTAAAATGAAATGTGGAACTCCACTTGAGTAAACAATTCTAAAGCTTACACATCACTCATGAGAAAAACAGATCATTTGCCAGATATCTGCTAAATGGTCTATAACAAACAATTAAGAATTTCTTTTAAACTGTCTATAATTCTTATGAAGTAGCTGTTCTAAAAATTAGAGTAAAATCATCTGAAATAAACACAGAAAGAAGTACATTACAAAGATGTTTGTTTGTTTGTAGTTAAGCACAAAGCTACACAATGGGTTATCTGTGCTCTGCCCATCACGTGTATCGAAACCCGGTTTCTAGCGTTGTAAGTCTGCAGACATACCGTTGTGCCACTGGGGGGCACATTACAAAGAAACTAAAAGATATTTTAATGACTTACTTGGTTTGAGCTTCAACTTAATTTTCTGTGGTTTTATTTGGACAGGATCTTCTTCACTAGTTCTTGTGTCACTTAAATGCCTATCCTATTTAGAGGTTTAATTAGAATAAACATTATCAATGCTAATAATTAATGAAATACTTCATGGTATCAAAGTTAAAAATACATAATGACAACAGTTTGTGACATTATATGTTAAAGTAAAAAATGAAGTTTTCTGAAAGCTGGATAGATAACACACAACAGCTAAATGATGTCGCATATTTTGACTTTAGTGAATGTTCAGAACCAGTACTAAAGTCTAAGTTTCATTGAGTCTAATAATAATCTGATGATAGTTTTCTGTTCTGCAATATATATGTATTATATATATATATATATATATATATCATTTAAAAGCATAGGATATTAAGAGTTTACTGCTCCTACAGATACTTAGTACTTGCTTTGACTCAGCTTAATATAAAAAAAAGATGGGAACGAGTAATATAAAAAAAAGACGAAAACAAGTATTATCACGAAAGGATAAGTGACCCCATTCCTTACTCAAAACATAAGAGGGCTCACAACTAATGACCAAAATGGTTGATAGCTTTAGCAAATCTACAACTGGTTGTCTCGTACACTCACAAAGTCATTCAAGTATCAGTGATGTGTAGACCACTGAAAGAATTTTGTAAGGCATAGGTAACTGGAAGCAATCAGGTTCATTATCCATACATGATAGCAACATTAGTTGAAGCACAAAAGATAGAAAATCTAAATATCAAAAATATACAAGTGTTCAATTACTCTGTTGGAAATTGTTAAACAATGCAGCGGGATTTTCAGAGAGAGAAAACAGTAAAAATGATTTTTTTAAAAATGTTTCTTAAGTGTAGCACAGATACAAGTTTGGACCATAACACTAGTAAATGCATACAAGTTTGAAACTCTGTTACGAGTTTCCAAAAAAGGATTCCTGAAAGGAAGAAAAATAAAACAATCCTACATGTTCAAAAACGTTTTTATTTGATTTGCTAACTACCATACCAGTTTACCTAGATGAGTTTAATGAATGAGAAAAGGGCATTTAATGGTAAGATGAGAGAGTTAATTTTGAAGTGAGATGAGGAGAAGAAAGACTGCTGAAATTTGCACTTTGAGGTAGTGAAACTTAAGCATAAACTGAATACAACTTGTATACATAATGACAAGGACACCTAAGTAAATACAGAAATGTGTTGAAATCAATTTGTTTTCCTCGTTCTCTTTAATTAGCTTCCACATTTATAATCAAAACAAAATATGTATTTCTAACTGCTGCTCACTACAGTTTAGACATTAGCATATGGCAAGAATTAGTTAAATTAGCCGTAAAAGGTTTTCTCTGCAGAAGCAGTTATAAGTGTAACAGTAGATTATACTGTTGTTATAACTGAGATGGTTACAGATGAAATTTGGAAAGTTTGACAGTCTAACACATTTGTGCAACCACTTGTATGTTCATGCTACAGTTGAGAAGAAAAGAAGCATTGTACATATTTCTAGACTAATGATGAATATCACAAAGTCATAAGTGATGATACAGTCTAGTAAAAATATTAGAAAAAATTTGAATGTCAAAACATAAACCTAGATCTGCAGCCCCAGTGACAGTTGACAAGAAAAGCTTCTGACTTTTTTACTTTTGACCATACCAAGGAAAGTTCAAACAGAACAAAAAAACAGAAGTGCTAGCAAGATTAAAACAATGTCCTAGACATGGCCACAGAGGAAAAGATCCCTGTAAGTTTGCTTAAATGTAAACCTTTCTTAGATAAGTGGAGAGTCTTAGATCAGTTATTTCCAGTGAAACATTAGCATATTGTCCATCTAAATGTATATCAAAATATCTGAAGTATTACAAAATAACATTTAGGGACAACAAGGGACCTGTTGGTTCATTTAGGCTGTCAAATCCACTAAACTTTGAAATAAAAATTAAACAATCAAATCCAATCCTTATCAGTCAAAGACTTATCAACCCTTCCCCTAAACTCCTTTACATTTACTGCACCCACCGATTCTAAAAGCAATCCATTCAAAAAGGCAACCATCCTATTAGGAAAGTAAAACTGTCTTAGCTGAAGATGACTTCCACCCTGCCAAAATTTGTATTTGTGTATTCAAGTCCTTCCATTCTTACAACTAAGTATGAAAAAACACAATGCATCAATAATATCAATTCCTTGAATAGATTAAAATGAAACATTGATTACCAAAGCCAAAGCTGTTATTTTTTTTTATCAATTATGAAGCTTACATGCTTTTAACTATACCTCTAGTTTTTCCATTTTGCTGTTTGGGTGAACAATGTCTTTATTAGGACATTTTCCAATCAAATTTCCAATGGTGTCACATCGTCGGCTTCCATCACTATCAAAATCCTACAAAGGAAAATATTTATATAATTAAATTTTCAAACTTTAGTATCATTAATGAAGGTATTGAATAAATTAAGAGCCATAAAAATCCTGTCATTATTTAGAAGTAAAGAAAAACTTTTCCTCAAAAAAAAAGGGAAGTAAATGTAGGGATGGCTAATATCAATCCTTCAAAAACAATGCAAACAAGATAGTAAGGATGGCACTTGCACCATCCCTACATAATAGCACAGGCAAACAGTGTAGTAGAATGTTAACAGACAAAAATAGAATAAATTATACTCAGTTAGGATGGAACAGTTATATATATTGTTATATGTTAATACTTGCCTGTGCTATTATACACTATTTTATTTGAATTGTTTTTGAAGGATTGATATTAACCATCGCTACATTTACCTCCTTTTTTGAAGAGTTTTTCTTTACTTGTTTGTTGTTTTTTCTAATGCAGTGTTTCAATAAACATAGGAATGTTGTATTTATAACCAAGTTCAAAATACAATGAGGTTCCAACTATAATATTTATTGCTTATTTATCATTAGCTGGTAATTCCTGTTTCACCCTTTATTTAAGTGTTGTTAAAGGAACACTAAATTTCTGTAGGAAAGCTAACTTTAAGGGGTAATGATAACATCATTTACACTAAAATTAAGATTTTTAAAAAAATTACTACTAGTTATTAACAATACTTATAAAAGTGGATACTCTGTTTGAAACAGTCACCTCAGTGAAATTGGTCGACACCATTGTTTTGTGTTTTGAGTTATCGTGTAATAAAAAAGAAGCAGAAGAAAGAAGAACAAGAAATTCTAACTTTTTGCTATGATATTTACAGACATTCTCAGAACCTGTGACATAGACATTGTTATAAAAGGAAACACTGTATAGTATTGTAAAGTTCTGATGACCTATTGAGGAGATATTTAAAATACCATTTCAATGAACAATCTGAGTCATCACTACATAGGCAGTGCTGCCACCTGCCTTATAAGACTGAGGAAAGCTATGACTGCTTTTTGAATGTTTGTGTTTTAGTAAAATGCTCCTGTAGAAGCTTTAAAGCAAAATGTTGAGTATCCAATTAAAGAAGACAAATAATAAACTTAGTGTTATGAGGTTGTCAAATCAAATTCATGGCATGAAGTTAGGTTTAAAAATCTTTCAGGTCTCAGAATTAATTTCTGGGGCTTGAAAGACAATCCAGGGTGGTCAGAAACGTTTGTTTCTCTTCACTCCACTCGTTGAGAGATTAAGTGCCAAAGAAATTTGTATGGAGCCATTGGGCTTAGATTAGATATAAGAATTTAGAGAAAAATTTTGATGGGTGTGTGGAGTTAAGGAAGATGCCAACACAACATCGTTGTACAGTTGATGTGGAACACGTGAATAGCGCAGTCGTCATCGTGAAAGGAGCAGGGAGGTGCAGACCGAGTGAATGCAATTTTGTTTTGAGAGATTGCATAGAAGAAATTTTATTGAAGTTAAGGAGATTTTATAGAATTTTGATAATAAACTGTGACTAGTTAATGTTATGTGGTTGCTTATTACTAATTATCTTTCATACTCCAACATGTACAATGGAAATTAAAAGATATTTTAATTGCTGTTTATCCACAGGCAAACTTTAGTTATGGTCATTTAATTAAACAAATCATCATCTTGAATTTTATTTAAATTAATTGAAAAAATGAAACTAAAACAAAGGAGTGATGATAAAAATGTGGACTTTATTTTGAATGTGTGTGGTGAGTGGTACACAGCTTAACAGCCTGATTACCTTTTTTTCAAAGAGTTAACACTTAACAGTTCTTCTTTAAAGCTGTAAATGGACGTCAAATTATTCTTGGTTGTAGGTTGTGAAGTTACAGATGTTGATTTTTTTTATACATTTTACAGCTAAATGTAGAGTAATTTTTGGTTTTATAGCATCTTGGTGAAACCTGAGCCATAATACTATAATATATATTAAACTTTAATATAGACTAAGATGTGTGATTGTTAAGAAAAGGAACTAAAACACTGACAATGCATGCAATTTAAAAAAGATAATATACAGTCCCTTTGAGCATAGTAATACATGCATAAAATAAGGTACTGGTATAAATCTGTATGCATGGCTTCCAAGAACACTAGATATTACATTATAATGTAAGCATGTTCCATACATGCTAAATATAAATGATAAATTCTGATGAAGAAGTTAGCACAGAGGATCACACACGCAAAAGTTGTAATGGTTTTGAAATGACACCCAAAACTCAACCACTTTTGAATAGTTCAGGGAACTATAAATGACAGAAGTACTGTATACATTGTGACTTATCCACTAAACAGTCTATTGTCATCATTGTTATGCTTAATAACTTATATGATCATCTAACTATTTACTAATTCAGTTATTTTTTTATTATAGTTATTAGATATTATGTAATTTATATTCTGAATTTTGACATTAATCTGCTGCTTTATTTCTGATAATTATAATAAAAATTAAGTATTTCTTAATCAGTCTTGGGATATTATATAGGCTACCACTCATTACCAGACATATGTGGTTGGTTTGAACTCTATCATCTCAGGTTATTTCATTGGATTATTAAGTACTTCCAATCATAAGTATTTCACCTATACAGCTCAGAACTAGAAATTTAAAACAGTATTGAAAATGAAGCATTGTCCTTTATATTTTTATAGTACTTTGTGGTTTCAGCTACTTTGTAGTTCCTATATTATAAATATTCATTTCACTGGAGTATCATATTATATACTCTCATTACTTTTACACAGAAGTTCTTATTGATAATATTTTTTCTAACTATTTTTTTATTAGGATTAATATATATAATATGCCTCACATTGTACTGCTTACATTAAATCTTAATGTCTTTTTTTCAAGTTTAAATAGGTCTATATTTTCTGTCTTACAGGAAAATCCTAATCCTCAGCCATACGTACAGAAAATCCCCAAACCAACAGAGGGTGCTTTCCGACGGATCCATCAGCCAGCCTTTCCTTTGTTGGATCAGAAATTAGTAGAGGACATCATGCAAGATGGTCTTTCAAAGCATAATCTAAGGGCCAAGTAGGTGTCTGATTTATAAGTATGTTTTATGTAATAAATTTCAGACTTTTCATCACAAATCTATGCTATGGATTTTCTGCATTAATTTCACAGTAAATGAAATGTATGTTGCAGCTGAACGTAATAGAAAAAATACTTTCAAACAAACTTTCGTGAAACTAAGTGTTGACATTTTTTTAGGACAAGTTTTGCTGTAGCATTCAATTCACAAGGTGAAAACCAAAGTTTATTAAAAACAGAAGCACAAAATGAACAGTTCTAAATACATTTAATTATATTTGATATAAGACATTAGTATACTGAACCGCAAAAGAAAC